CCCCCCCATGTGTTTAGCTGCAAGGAATAAGCTATTCCTACAATGTTTGGAAGATTTTGGTTTGTTGTTGCTTTGTACTTGGTTGAGACCAGGCCATTTTCTCAGCACGCCTTCCCTTGCTTACTGGCATTTCTGGAAAACAATGCATTTATAGATCTGTGCTTAAAAAGAACAAAACCCCCTATAGCTTCTTAGTGCAAGCTTATCTCTCTACTTTGGCTGACTAAGCCCATCTAATCTGTATTGTTTTGTCAGTGCTGACCTGATACATTGCTGAGATGTATGAAAAAGTGATGTTTCCCAACTGCACTTGCTGCCTTTTGTAGAAGAGCTTTTCATATTGTAGAAGGATAAAATAAGGCAGTGTTAAAGGAGAGGAACGCACAGCATCAAAACTACACAGCTGTCCTAGATGCCTTTTGTTGCTTTGAGGTTGTCCATTTATGCATCTTTCTACTATAAGATCAAGATAAACTTTATTCTTCTTTAATTTGCTTTGATTTTTGCTGTCATGTCCTTAGTGATAGGAATAACTCCAATGAAGTCGGTGGAGTAAGTGAGGATTCATGTCAGCATATCTGAGGTCAGAGGCTGGGCCTGTATTCCCTTGGGGTTACTGCTCTGGGTATGGATGTCCACCAGTGCTTTCATGGAGTGTTGATTAATGGCTATGTTTAAAAAACAAACAAAACAAAAAAAAAAGGAGGTATGGGGAGGGCAGCTATTTACCTTAAAAAATCCAAACCCCAACACAACAAAAAGCCTGTGTTAGTGTAGTGCAGGTACAAAAGTGACACCTGCCAGGCAAAGCGGAGTTGATGACTAGGCAGCTTCCCACCGTCACGCTGGGACACCACGTCAGTAGGCCGCCTTTCAAAATAAGTGGTGTCAGGCCCCTTTTAATTTATTTTTTGGGGAGAATGCAAAGTACACCTTAGCTTTTATGAAAAGGCGTAAGATTAACAGTATCATTTAAGGCAAAAGGTCAGAGATTTAACACAGACAACAGAACTACATAGCTGGGGCAGGAAAGCATTCTTTCCTCTAGTTCTGCAGCTTCTTTACACATGCTGCTTTCATCAAAGTCCTATTTTTAGTGGTCTCGCTACGCCCAACACTAATGCTGTTAACATGGCCTGTGTTAACTTTGGCAGTCAAAGTGCAGTTCTGCTCTGAAAAATATCAGTAGTGGGACATCTTGTTTCTTTGCTTTCTAGATTGCTTGGCAAGTTAGCAGTGTGTCATCTTTTCCTCTTTTTTTTTGTTTTCCCCTTTTCTTTTTTTTTGACAGTCTAATCTTCAAGCAGAGCCTAACATCTGATAATAAACCTGCGTCTGCTGGTTAATCTGTGTTCCTACTGAAACAGTTGCAGCTGGTTGCTTTACAGGGGTTCTATGAAAACTGAACAAATCACTATGTGGGCGTGGGGGGAGGAACTGCACACAGGTTACAGTGCAGTACCACAGTGAGCACAGGAAACAGGGTAGGTTGGGGTCACCCAGAATACTCTTCAGGCAGCCTCAGCATCAATCTCATTCTCATCTACCTACACACAGGCTCTGGGGATTGCTCTGGCAGGCACGTTGGGATGACAGAACTGGATTTGCATTGCCTGGGGATCTTTGCTGCCCAGTGGAAATTCCCATGTTGGAGCTTTGGTTTTTGGGGGAGGGAGGGGTGTTGGGTTTTTTCCTGTCATCTTGTCATTCAGTGTTGGATTTAACTCTGCAGGAAACAGGTGCAGGTCTCTGTGACTTTGTCAGAAGTTGCATCTGTTTCTTAGCAGGGCTGAGTTTGTCACCTGAGCCTCTCCGATCTCCTTTCACTTGTATGAGTAATTGTTGTGTAAGGATTCACATTTCTGGAGTTGTTCCCAATGTGTGCATGCTTTTCTGTTTATTAATTGCTTCCTTAGGAGGAGGAGGAGCCTTACATTTATTTTGTGGGGACGTTTTTGACACCGTGAGGGAAAAATACAATATGTATACATGTGTGCTTGCTTCCAGATTCTTGCTATGTGGCTCATTAAAGATGAGAAAGCAGAGCTGTGCATTAAGTGATACAGATTGAAAAATAATGCAGAAATGCAAGCCCTTTTGTGTGTAGTTTAACTTGCTGGTTTTATACAGGCATTTCTGGATGTCTCTTGATTGCACCATGTTATTTAAGGAATAGCACCTCTGATGTGTGGAAATGCAAATTATTGCCTGCCTGAAATGTTATTAGCGGCAACATACAAGTGTGTGTGTGTATAAGTATCTGGAAGTAGTAGAGTCTCACACTGCTTTTCTGCCTTTAACTCATAATTCAAAATTACCAATCCCCAGAAGTACCAAATCCCCAACGTTAAAAAACAGTACTGTATGAAAGGTGGTTATACTGAGGAAAGAAAGACCATGCCAGTACCTTGTCTGCCATGCCCCTGTTCTAAAAACTGACGAGGAGCCTGCATTTAGCAGGCTAAGAGAAAAGGGGTTTGTGAGAAGAAAGTGGTCTCATGGAGGAATCAGACTCTCTTCTCCATTGCAGCATTAATCTCTGGGGTGATCTTTTCTAAGGTCCTATTTCTGCCCCTACTTTCATGCTCTGTAAAGAGTGTGTTATAAATACAGGTTAAAAATACCCTTAGAAGTTAAATTATTCTCAGTTGTTCAGCTTTCTACATCTCTTGAAAGGCTGTTCCACTGGTAGCAGCATTTGAATGATTGAACTGGGTGTCTGCTAGTAAACTGTTGTTGGTATTATGCACAGGGGAATCTGATATTTCAGTTTAGAAAACTCTTCACAAAACAAGTTATTGGGATGCCATTTTGTGAGTTTTGGTGCAATTTCGAATCCAAGTGCAGGCCTGATTCACAGCTGATGGATTGGTGATGCTTTACTGGTTTTAGTAGGGGTACACTGTTAATAAGCAGCTGAGTTTCTGAGCTACCAAAGCTGAATATTTACTTCTTTGAATCAGGTCTTTGAGCATGGAATAAAAACTGTTACCATCACCTGGAGTTTAGTCCTAATTCAGGTGCTACCTCCTATGAAAAAAAAAGCCCGTTTGCAGAGTTCACAGCAGCAGCAGGTGTCACCGGTAGCAAGTCTCTCATCTTTACTCTCTGCCTGCATAGGCCTTGTTGCAGTTCTCACCCCTGGACAAGACTAATTGTGATGTGCTTTCTTCTCTGCTGTGCCTAATGAATGACTTTTTAGTAATTCCATTTAATGTTGGCTGCAGGGAATAGATGAAGGCCCGGAGGGACTCAAACTGATCTCTGACATTATTCGAGAGAAGATGGGAATAGACATCAGTGTGCTGATGGGAGCCAACATTGCCAATGAGGTGGCAGCAGAGAAATTCTGTGAAACCACAATAGGTACTGTTCCAACTAAGAAGAATGTTTAAAACATGCTCCGGTCCTCACAGTTGCACACCAGCTAGCTCAGAAGATATTTTTTTCAGCATCAGCTGGCTGTTATTAGAAACTACTGGGGTGTTCTTATTTTAATATTGAATTTCCTAGAATGTTTAGACTTCCAAAACTACTAGGACAATACCAGGAATAGAGGGAGAGGGAGGAGTGCAATTTTACCTAGTCTCACTAGGGTTGTGACCTTAGCAGGTGCAATATCAAGCATGCTTTTTATCGCCCTCCGCTTAACAAACTGCTTTGTTTTATTGCTGTGCTTAAGGTTTTTTGGGTCTGCATGGCTTTATATGGATAAATGATTATATTTTCTGTACTCCAGCTCGGGTGTTATGGTCACAGGTGATACCTTCATGCATGTTTGGGTTGGTTGGTTTTTTTTAAAAGTACCATTATCTTATTTTAATTTTTCAAAATAATGAGTTCTCCAAAAGTTAGACATGGTTTTAGTTCTGCATTGACATCTGCACACCTTTCCAGCACAAAGGTGTGCCTAGTCTTGGAATTCACAGTAGCTAGACCTGTGTGTGTATACACATACAGGTAGTCATACATAATAACACAGGGTTCATGGGGTTTTTTTCAGTGTTAATTTTTAGTTTTGTGCATTTTTAGCTTTGTAATCTCTCGTTAACAGCTTTTGCACTGAACTTATTTTTGAATGGTTGAATTACCTCTTAGTGCTTAGACACATTTGTCAGTGGCAGCACGATCAATTAATAAAACATCCTTGACATGCCTTTAGCAGTAGATATTTTTATGGAATACCGGCCTTAAAAATAATTGGTAAAATTGCACCTGATAAATTTTTAATTCACCTTTGTTTTATTATTAACTGTTCTTTTTAAAGAGAATGATCAAAAAAAGAGAGACTATAGAGAATTAATGGACTTGTTATTTTGAATCTGTTGCTGAGCAGACAATGAATTATGAAGACCTGAGTAACTCGGCACAGAGCTTTTAAGTGCAATGTAGATGTGTCCTTAGTCACTTAAAACAGGAGTCTGTTTAGGCTGACAGTAGAACAGCCTTATCTTTCCTTTTAAGTATTTCAGCTTGCATAGGAAAGGCTAAATAACACCCAAATAAATTATTAATTTTTTAGCCTTCCTTTCTCTCTCTCAACAGGCAGCAAAATCTTGGAAAATGGTCTTATCTTCAAAGAACTCCTGCAGACTCCCAACTTCCGAATAACTGTCGTAGATGATGCAGATACGGTTGAGCTTTGTGGTGCCCTGAAGGTAAGATTAACAGGTTGCCGTTGGTACACAGTTTGTTGGACCTGTGATCCTTGTAGGAAAAAAAAAAAAAAAAAAAGGAGGGTATTTTCATTTAAAGAATTCATTTTGTTGTGCTTTATATAATATATAAAACTGCTGCATAATACTTCTGGAAGAACCAGATGGGAAATTAGGGAGCAGTATGTTCTTAGAGTTGGCTTTTAGACCCTTGTCTCACCATCTCCCAAGTTCTCTTTCTACATCTTCCACACAGTCCTGAAACAAGCGTTGATTTCGTCTAACTGATCAACGTATTTCTAAACCCGTTTTACTTCCCTTTTTCTTTTTGCAACAGTGTGTTCACAAAAAGAAAAGGGGAAAGAAGTTGGCGTTAATCCTTTGTGTCTCTTGACAAAACTATTCTCTTCTTCATTGTCTTGCACCCTGTGAGCACTCATGTGTTGTATTTTATGGACATAATGTTTGTGTGGATAACTATATACAGAAATGACCCAAATAGGAAAAAAATTACTTTGGACAGTTACCCATCTGGAATTTTGTTTGGTAACAAAATCGATGCTGACAGGAAGCAAATGCCACCTTACATACATTCTTATTGCTGCTTTTTTTAGGTTAATTTACAAGCTGTTGTGAAAGGACAGCATTAGTCACTTGGCATGCTGGCTGGCAGTACTCTAATTCACACTATCTCACATGGAAGTCACGGAAGTGTTTCTAATGGTTGTGGTAGATAATTAGGCTTACCTTTTTATTTTTTGTTTTGGATAATTATTTTGTATTGCTGTGTGTCCTCTGTTGGAATTAAGTGTAAACGACACCATTTGCTGGCAAAGCTACCAAGACAATGAAGTCTTTAAGCTAAAGAGTTCTGATTCCCACTCAGGGGGAGGTAGATTGATAGCTACAATAACAAAGTTTGTGGCATACTGGTTTTCTTGATAATTTTGTTGAGTGCTGTCATACTGGAAGTCCTGAGAAGGAGGAGGTCATGGGTCTGTGCACTGGGCTAATGGGATAACACTTTGGTGCAACATGCAGTTAGTGTATTTATAGCAATTTCTCAGGATTGTAGAGCTCGTAATTGGGTTCCACAGCCCTTGCTTTCAAATGCCGTGGTGATGTGGGAGGTTCGCAGGAAAGAAATCCCTGTGTATAGACCCATGAAATGAGTCAAAATGTTGTACAGGTTTATTTGTCTTGGAAATCTGCTCAGACTGATGTTTTCTGGCTCGCTTAAATTCGTGTGTGACAGAGGAGTTCTGTCACAGGTAACTTTTATTCCAGACAAATCTCATGAAAGGGTGTTCGAGATGAGCATGCCCATCAATCTGAGCAACTGGTCAGCAGACACTCCAACTCCACTGTAAAGGTCCAAGTCGGGCAAGGTGCCCCTATCTCTTTTGGAAGTGCAGAAGAATTGCAATAAATTCTTGTTCTTGACCTGGAAAGATGCTGAAGTGAAACCTGTGTATTTTCTTGATAGCCTGGTTTTGTTCCTCTCTCCTGCTTTATTACTCATCATGTTTCCTGCAGACTGAACTCTACAGTTGTACTTCTAAAAGCTGTATATATTCTGCGTGCTCTGGTCATGCGGTTTTGATTGCACTATCTTTTGTTAACTGAGTTGAGGCTTCCAAAGAAATGCATGGTCTGAGCATAAACAAAAAGCCAATTAAGGATAGATTAGCGTGTTTAAAAATACTGTGGACTTCTTGCCCGATTAAAAGGCGTGAACTGGTATAAAGCGACATAGGGCAGTCATGCTGGTATAGGTGATGTGTTTTAAACATACAACTCTTCCTTAATCTCAAAGAAAAATTTATTAAGATCACATTTTCAAAAGTAATTTTTCATTAAAACCCCTTCTAGTTTAATCCAAAGTGTCGTGCTGACAGCATGTAAATAACTTCCTGACCTGTTTTTTAACTCGAACATGGCAAAACTGTATTAATCAGTTGGGAACATGTATGTCTCGGAAAGAAAAAGAAGCAGCTAAAATGGAACAACTGGGAATGTTACTGCCTGTGCAAAATGCAGAGCTCAGATGTGAACAGTGAAATGGGACCTTCAGCTTTTCTCGTAGAAGTTGTATGTAGGTATTATTAGGAGAATCATTTGCTAAGGGTAACAACAAGCACTTTGCTTTTTTATGATTAATCTGATAATACTTGTAATTAAAAAAATAAGCATCTTTTAATGTTTTTAGGAAAAAATATAAATTGTAGCTTCTGTCAGCTGACAGTTACTTTATTAAACTTGGAAAGTTGCTTCATGAAAAAATGCTAAAAATTAGCATTATTGAACTTGCTGGAAGGAGGAAATTCCTGTCTCGGAAGATGAGAGTGTTGTATGAAGAGACAGCTATTAAAATAGAGGTTCTGCTCCCTTCCTATAGCAGTGCCAATTCAGAATGTCAGCAGCGGCACTGCAAACCGCAGCTTGGAGGACAGAAGTGAGCAGGCACCCATTCCAGTCCAGACTGTCTTTTTGGATGTGGAAGTAGTAAAAGCAACTACTGTTTTGGTATTTAAAGGATGAGAAATAGTGTACTATGAGAAATAGTATATTCTCCCAGCTTTTGCATTTTTCTACCAGTATCAGCTTGGGAAAAGAAGACTTTTCTGGTATTTCTGGAATAATAGAGTAGATCTTGTTAAAAGTCTGTACTTACCTCGCTCTGTATTTGTGTGAGCATCTCTTAGCAGGGAAGATTTTTGATGTGGATGGTTAACTAAGGGTTGACAGAAATTACAGAAGGGTAACAGAGTGCTCTGAGCACAGCTTTCCCTTACAGTAATCATAATTTTGGTCTGAAATGTGTTTTTTTGATGGATATTTGAATTCAGGCTATAATAATAAGTATTGCAGCTGGGTAATCATGCAAGAACATGTGCTTGATGTCAAAATATATACATATGTAAGTATATGTATATATTGAACATCCATTTCATTTGCTGTATTTATTTTTTGTGAAAGTGGGCCGTTGGAGATGTACTGAAGTATAGAAATCGTTGCAGCCAAATTGCAGTCTTACATCAGCTTGGCGACTGGCTGAATAGGCAACGGCAGTCCCTTCACAAAATCTGATGCTACTGAGGAAGAACAGCTGCCTACAGTAACTTGTTGGCTGTAGGAACAAAAAGTACTTGGCATATTCTCCATTTTTTTTTTCTTTTGAGGACATATTTCATATTTATTCGTTAACCTCTTCTGAGGGCTGAAGTCAGAAATGAACAAACTTCAGATCTGGATAGTTCCGTTTTAAGGTGTCCAGTTGGCTTTACAGGCAGCCTGACCCAAGGCTACCTAAACCCAGCTGCTGTTTGCCAGATGCTGAAGAGCCGTTCCTAGGAAGTGCTTAAAGGTTACGCTGCTGCTGTAAGAGCAGTGTGTGCAGCTCAGGGATGCTGACGGATGTGTTACCGTAGCGTAGCGCAGACCCAAGGTTATCACCACCGAGGTGTCCCCTGTGCCTGTGCCTGCGTGTGGTCTTAAATCAGACAGCACAGATGGGAGGCAGGACTGGTGTGTAAACCAAGCAGCCCGCTTTAGCAGCAATATAAACACTGGTAGGGGTGTTCCTGGGTGTAAACTCTGCTGGGATCACTTACCCAGGGCAGCAGCGACAGCAGTGAGTGTGAGGGACGGAGAAGTGAGATCTAATCTCTGGATATGGCAAAATGACCATGCTCCAGCTGCCTGATGTGTTTGTTCAGGGATCTGGAGAGTTAAACTCCCTCAGGTGGCAGCAGCCAAGGACTAGGACTGAAGTGACAGTTCCTGCAGGAAGGAGAAGGAGCAGCAGCTGTGGTTGCCTTCCAGGTTGCTGCAGGCACATCTCTAGATCTTATGGCTCCAGCTTAGCCTTAAGCAAACAGTAAGAAGTATACCAATGATTTCCTGTTCGCCAGGTTACTGTAATGTAACCCAGCATTATTAGTTACAGAGGTGGTCCTGTCAAGTGTGTTTGTTTGTGGCAGTCACCACTGGATAGTCAGTCTAGGTACTGTAGAAGTTGATTGTGGTAATAACTCTTTCCTGCGATTCAATGGAAGCGAAGTCCATTATTTACATTCAAGTTTGCTAGAAGCAAGCAAGCAGTTTATGCTTAACCTCTCTGACAGCTCTGCTGATACGGTCTTTGATTTGCTGAGTCTTCATTTGACCTCTCTCAGCCACGATGTAAAGCAAGGAGCTTCTCCAAGTTCATGTGTAAGTAAGAGGGAAAGCAGGCTGTGCTGAGCTGTGACACTACCTCGAGGAAGGCTGGATGTCCCAGGTGAATTAACATTTCTGATTAGTCTCTAATGATCCAGTTAATTATGGAGAGATTGTCTCAGAAATGGTGTCTGAAGCTGTCTTCACGAGCACTCCACAAAGTTACCGTCAGCAGAGGAGGACTGTAAATTGGGTATTTCTGAGCACTGACTGTGTAAGAGAAGAATCTGTCAGCAAAGTCTACGGGCTTGGTAACCTTGGTTCCTTGGTCATCTGTTGACCTTGCTCTTGTGACCTCTGGCATGTTTGCAGCAGGTCCTGTGCAGGTAAAATACACTTTTTCTCATTTGCTCTGGCACACACGGTGAGCATTCCCTGGCATTAATGTTTGCTTTCCAGGGGATAGCTTCACTATCCCTGTGGTAAAGGAACCGACTCCAATCCTTGCTCATGTTCTAGAATAACTAGGATTAACCCCAGCTTCTGGGTACCAGACCAGCTAAAGACCTGCCTGTTAGAGAAAAGTATTTTAGTAGCTTAAAACCATATGCATTATAAAACCACCCTGTGCATCTTGCTTACAGGATGCATTCTTTGCTGTAAAAAGCTGTTTAATGCTGAGATGGGGGAAATGTGTTTGCTCAAGCGTGAAGTGGTTTTGAGAGCTCTGAATCCCTCTGCCCAGGAGCAACACTGTGTTGCAGTCATTTTGGGGTTGTTGTGACAGAAAAGTTAAAAAAACCCTTTGGAACAACAGGTTTGTAGGCTAAAGTCGTCCTTGCTTATTGGGCCCTCAGACCACCATGTTGTGTGCAAATACAGCCAGTCTAAGCTCACGGAAGTGTGGGCTGTCTCCTCTTGCACAAATGTATGCCCATTATATTTGCAGGAACTCTTGTAACTTCAGGTGCAGGTGCTTTGGCAGTGGCCAGGATCAACCGTATCACAGAACGGTTTGGGTTGGAAGGGACCTTACAGACCATCCAGTTCCAACCCCCCTGCCATGGGCAGGGACACCTTCCATTAGACCAGGTTGCTCAAAGCCTCATCCAGCCTGGCCTTGAACACTTCCCGGGATGGGGCATCCACAGCTTCTCTGGGCAACCTGTGCCGGTGCTTCACCACCCTCTCCAGGAAGAACTTCTTCCTGATATCCAATCTAAATCTCCCCACTTTCAATTTAAACCAGTTAACTCATGTCCTGTATATCAGCTACAGAAAGATGTTTTGGCCAGATGGATATGGGATTCTCTCTCTGCCCCATTCTGCTTCCCAAAGGATTGCTATAGTGCTGGTGGTCTTGTGTGTTAATTTGGGTTCTGCTTACGCATCTTCCTGAAATAGACTTGACTTAGTGCCTACACCCAGAGATTTCAAGTACCAAACTTCCTGTTTTGGTCTGGTTTTGGACAGAAAGATGACTCAGTCTCAAGTTTTGTGAGGTTTTTTGTTTTGTTTTTAAAAGAACTGGCTCTTCTTTCAGTAAGGTGTAACTTTCAGCGTGGTGTAATTCAGTTCTCTACAGTATAGTAGACACAAAAGATTAGATTCTTCAAGGATTTAAATGAAACCAGATGGTAGAGCTTGTAAGTCTATAGTTGTGGCCTGAGGGTTATGCAGACCAGGACATAACAGTCTCCAGGGTGTGGGTGGGTGTTCCAGAGCATAATCAGTCGTCTTGTTTCCTCATTATTTGCAAACTATGTTTAAGAACGTACAATGGGGACATTGTACAAACAAGGAGTTTAGTGTTTCAGTGTTGGGTTCACAACTTCCCTTCTTCCCTACCCCATTTCCTCAGAAGTAACGCGTCTTGGTATGACTTGCTTAAAACAATATTTCTGTGGCTCCAAAGACAAACATTGCAAGAAGTAGTAGACAACAACATGCCACAGGCCAAATCACCCTGTAAATTATGACCATGTAGGCTGCTTCAGAGTGGAAAGGAAAGTCAAAGCAGGCAGAGTTGGAGTGAAGGGGAAGCTTTAGTATTGGAGTGTTTGAGAGAGATGTAGAAGAAGTCCAGAGGTTGTTCAGAAGCATTTTGGTTTTTAGCTGAGCGCTAAACACTTGCAGATTTCGCGTAGGTGTAGATTCCAGTTAAATGGATTATCCGGCCTGAAAACTTCTTACATACTTATTGACTTCCTCCTTCTTTGCCACCAAATGAATGACTACGGAAGGTTGCTCTGGGAGAGGGCTGATGAAAACATAACATCACAGGCAGGATTTGACCCAAGATGATCTAAAGTAACAGCTTTGAACATCTGATTGTCTTTTGTTGCTTCAGGTCTGATGTTGAGATACCTGTCTGCAGTTTTTAAGGTCACCTTTAGGTCTCAACTAGCTGCTCAAAAAGCAGTGACTCATTTTCTGACCTCATTTGATTGAGAGTCACCTCATCACACAGCACTGAAGCTGCCTGCTTGGTACTTACAGGCCAGACCCCAAACCAAAACCGGCTGTTAATCAGCTTCTTGCTTTCATTAGCAGCTTCTGACTGTTGCTGTGTCTTCAGCAACAGTTGAAGTTGGTTGGGTTGTTTTAAGTTTTCTCCCTTGTGTCGGGTGCTACATCAGGTGCCATGATGTTGGTTCTCCTCTGCTGTTGTTGCGTGCAGAAAGGTATTACTGCATCTCTTGCGTCTTTGTTTGCTTTATCAGTACATCAGAGTGCTGGTTCTTCTGGAGGGTTTTGGTTTTTGGTAGGGTTTGGTGTGGTTTGGTTTTTTTTTTTTTGGTAGGGGCAAACTAACCATGAGTAGTCTCTGACTCCCAGGCCAGAAAATAGCTTGTACAGTCACTTCACTCAAAGGTGTCCAACTCATCTCTGTGTTTGTAAGCCAAAGAAGGGACCGTACAGCTGATTGCTCACAAAGAAACAGTACATTCTTTGTAGAAGGCTGTCACTAGGTCTGAGAAAAAAACCCAAACCAACGTTTTTTGCTTAGGAAAGGTCTTACTGTGTCATGAACCTTCTGGGAACCCTTGATTAACTGTGATTGTTATAGGAACTCTGAATACTGAAAAGGGCTGAATACAATTAGCTTGGCTGAGTTTGGTCCCTTAGCATATCAGCATGGAAGTCAGTAAGTTTTTCTTAGATTCAGTACTACTTCATTTGAAAATACAGATAAAAGGGCTGTGGGATGTCAGTCCAGCTTTACCTTTACCTCTGAATAGGAACAGCTCAATCTAGATAAAACTTTGTGTGTAGTGTAACCTGTTTGTTCTCGAAGATGATGATAATAGCGCCATAGCCTCCTGGGGAATGTCTTCCAGAGCTTTAACTATGTTTTTATTTGTGGAAATACTAAGTAATTGGTAACTTGTCATCTTTTTCTTTCTTTTTTTTTTTTTTCCTAAAGGTTATCCCATAAGCCCCAAAACAAAAACCAAAAAAACAACCAACAAATCGCCCAACAACAACCTAGTCCTGCATTAGTGAAGTATTTGCAGTTCTTGAGGACATCTGCACTCTGTCTTTTGTTGCCTTCTAGGGTTCTGTAAGCAATAATTGACTCATTTCCTATTTGTTTTTTTCTCATTAGAATATAGTGGCAGTTGGAGCAGGGTTCTGTGATGGCCTTGGCTGCGGTGACAATACCAAGGCTGCCGTTATTCGCCTTGGCCTAATGGAGATGATTGCCTTTGCCAGATTTTTTTGCAAAGGACAGGTGTCTACTGCCACTTTCCTGGAGAGCTGCGGAGTTGCTGATCTCATCACAACGTGTTACGGTGGCCGGAACCGGCGTGTTGCAGAAGCGTTTGTTAAAACTGGAAAGGTAACCTCATTCACTGCATGAAATTCTTTTGTTGCAAGTTATTAGCGCTCCTGGTTTGGTGGAGTAATACTACAGCTATCTGGGGCATGCTAGCTGTGCTGAGTAAGTACCCTTCTCTGTCCTCTCATTTTTGAGCGTTACAGGGCTAGAATGAGTGTAAAGGTGTTTAAAAGGAGTGATTAAAAAGCTGGGGGGATAAGATGATGTTGGAAGATGCAGATTTAAGGAGGAGAACATTCACTAACAACAGTAGAGGAGAATATGATGTGTGCTTGCTCAGGTACACTTTTGAGAAAGGAAAAACCCTCAGTAACATCCTTTTTTTTCCCATCCAGATGTTGTTGTCAAGCTTATGAAAACTTTTATCACAGCTTTCCTTTCCTTCCTTCCTCCAACCCCCCTCTGTTGTTTAGTCTATTGAAGAATTGGAGCAAGAAATGCTGAATGGTCAGAAACTGCAAGGACCGCAGACTTCTGCAGAAGTGTATCGCATCCTCAAGCAGAAAGGAATGCTGGAAAAGTAAGTAAGAACAGATAAAGCAAGTTCCACATGCCCGTTTCTTTATCACCATAACTCTTTTTGCATTTTTAGTCTTTATCTTCATGAAGGTAATAGCCAAAAAGAAAACTGCTGTAATAAGAGTAACTTAATCCCCAGTTAAAAATCACAGAGAGAAGTGGATAAAACCTCAAAATAACATTGCTGTATGTAGAGGTAATAGCGTGACGTTCAATTTGTGAGTGCCCTTCTGTTTACAGAATGTATTATTGCCTCCTGCTATCATATAGAAGCACAGCAGAGTGTGTTTTAACATATGAAAAGAATAAAATACATGAAAATAGAAGCTGAGCTTCATAAGGAGACTTGTGAAGAGGCTTTACAGATCAGTATTTAGTAGTAAATTTATTGCTTATCTCCAAGGAGAGGATCTTTGTTACTAAGGATCTCTATAGCTGATCAGCTGAATAGAGTGTCTGCTTCTATCCATGTGGATTCTAGCTTGGATACTGCAGATCTCTTTCTTGATGTGACTTCCAGTTTGCTGTAGGAAAGAAAAAAAAAAAAAAAAGACTGCCATCTGCTTGTGTAGGTCAAGGGGTTTTTGTGCTGTGAAATTAAGCGGGTTGTCCTGGCTTGTTCATTTGTATTCGAGTCAGAACATGTGTGATTCCTGAAGCCACACACGCAGTTGTCTTCTTGTGAGATTAAGGGATTTATTATCTCTGCTCCTGTTTGCAGGAGAGACAAAATCAGAAAATAAATGACTGCCAATCAGAAGACCAAGCTTTGTTACTGTTTTTTTCCAAAGCAGCTTTTAAAGCCTAGTTTTAATGGATCAGCTGCATTAAGTTGCTTATTTTTTAACATTATCTTTGGGAGTAAGGCACCTAAGTCTGTCTCTGCAGCGTACAGTAATTAAGCTCAGTGCAGAACAAAACCTAATTACAATGTTGACTTCAGTCTTTGCTGTTTATGATTCCCCAAATGGACAGGATGCTGTGTTTGGGTTTTGTTGGTTGGTTGGGGTTTTTTTTTCCCCTGTTCTATCTTAGAACAAACAGAGTGTATATAGAAGACTTTGGGATGTGTTTCTAATGGAAGATACGAAAAGAGAGAGTTGCTAATTTCTGTTTGGTATACCAGCATATGTGTGTCAGTTCTTCATAAAAGCTCTCATTCAGCAAGACTTTTGAAAGCAACTTCCAAAGTGTTTTTCAAAAACTCTTGCTCCTGCTTTACAACACAAAACACAACTGACATGGTTTCAAAGTGGAGAGGCAAAGTGTCTAGTAAGAGTAAAATTTCGTACTCTGATCCTACAGAAAGAGTCTCAAGGCTACATGGAAATATGTAAAAGTCAAATCTCAGGAGCAGAGCCTTGGTAGCAGGGTGGATACTTATGACCATTTACAGTGCAGCTCGTTTTTTGCTCTCAGCAGTGGTAGAACTAGCTCTCCTAATGCGCTCAGATGTAAGATTCCTTTGGAGTTTGCAGTCAGCCTTGTTTCCGCCTTCCCTGTGTGAAGTGTGGCAGCCTGGTGCGCAGCAGAGTGACGCTCTCTGCGACAGACAGCAAGACTTGCCTCTCCAGATGTGGTCTATACTAGTGATGCTTCTTCCCTGAGAAGTAACTGCCAGTCTTGTACCTAAAGCCATGTGCAGCTGGCTTTTGCTTCAGAAGGTTCACGTGTTTTGTGACCATCTCTAGTAAAATCTCCCATAGGTGTAACAAATTTTATTTTGGTGCCTATGTGTAAGTTTTTTTGCAGTGAAAGCCAATTCACCCACTCTGTTCCTCCCAGCCCAGTGTATCACACAAAATAAGTGGTAAGTGAGGCATGTCACGCATTTGCATTTATTACACTTTTTTCTGCATATTTCTCAGTAAGATTTTTGCAGCCTAAACATCGTAGCGTGGGATTTGAAAGGGCAGCTATGTGGCTGTATACTAATTTTGGGTCCACTGATGAAATAAAACCAAAAACCAAGTCAGTCGGATTGACTTGAAATATTTGTTGTTGTTGCTGCTGTTTTTATCTTAATTCTCCCCAAAAATAAACCAGAAGAAATGGACATGCATTCAGAGCAGGCCACTGAAATGTTTTCAGTGGTTCAAAATGTAGCATTTCAGTTTTGAGCGCTTGAAATAAAAGCCACAGAAACAATGGACTAAACTCACAAGCATCTCCATTCCCCCACCCTTTTTTCCCCCAGTAATACCAAGTCCTGTATTCAAATCTTGTATCTGCCCTGGAGGAGCCTGTAGTCACCATGAGGGCAGTCCTGAATGGCCCGTGGCTTCCCTTGGGACCTCCGGTTCACTTTGGGGAGCCTAGTTCAGAGCTGTGGGGTGATCCCGGAGTTACCTCGCTCTAACACACGCCAGCAGAGCCTACAGGCAAGGATCTGTGGTGCTGGGTACTGGCTGGGGGTTCTCCTCCATGCTGCATTTGTGCATGACAGACAGAGCTTGAGGGTGACTGATGGGACCGCTTTCCTGAGGAGAAAGCCCTAGTCCAGATGTATTCTGAATCACTCAGAAATGTAATTGGTTTCACCCTCTCCAATGCTCCTTATTTTTTATTTCGGTCAAAATAACGAAGTATGTCAGGTCAAAATTGACCAATATAAAAGACCACGTTGAAATGTTGTATTTATCCTGGTGAACAGATAATGAATCCCAAAATTTCACCAGGCTGTGTGTGAAAACGGGACTTGTCTGGCTGTCCCTGTTCAGGATGGACAGAGAGCAAATAGCAATTTCTGTAAAGCATCTTGGCAGCAACAAGCCTTCAGGTTACCAGAGAAGCCTGAATAATTAGAAGGTTGATGGCAATGTGGCCAATTTAAAAAAGAAAAAAACGTAGAGAGAGGATTTAGTGTTTCGAAACCCACAGCTCATTTTGGACTCTTGTTAAAAACTTGATCTTCAGTTTCTTCCTGGGTGTCTGTGTCACATTCTGCGCTTGCATTATCAGATGGTTGCTCAGAGAACAGCGGACGTGCCAGTCACCCGTTTTAACCACAGACGAGTACTGCTGTGGGAATGTCAGGGAAGGATGCGAGCGTGTTTAATTTTTTAGGTCACTTAGTGGTTGTGCCATACATAAGGAATGTTGCAGGCTCCATTGTAGCTAGCTAGGCCGCGGAGAGCGGCTCGTCTGGGAGATGCACCTGGGTTCTCCATTTATCCAGCGCTCTCCAGCCTGGCGTTAGCGCTCGACAAACACTGCAAGAAATTGATTTTTCAGTCTCTCTCTCTCCCCTCCCTCTCCTCACCCTGTTTCATTTCTTTCCTTTAAGAAAACGTTACAGAATAACGTTACGCTGCATTTGCTTTCCCCGCCCTGTTTCCTCAGGTTTCCCCTGTTCACTGCTGTGTATCAAATCTGCTATGAAGGGAAGCCTGTCAGAGAGATGATATCCTGCCTTCAGAGCCACCCGGAGCACATATAAAATCAGTCGGGACGTCGTATTCGTGCAGCTTGCTGCCTTCCAAATTGATACCTGGCTTCAGGTGGACCCTGTCGCGAAGCTTTGTTCAAAGCTGCTCACTGGGCAGCAGGAGCAACGTGAACGTCTCCGAATGGGTATTGGGTTTTGGGTTTACAGCCTGGTTTGATGTCGCATGCAGTGTTGGCTCGGTGAATGTCCTTCTACTGGCTAAAATACAACTGGTCTAAGATGCGCAAAGCTGCGCTGCGTGTCTCGTGTGCATGCACAAACGTACTTTGTGTGTGCTCCTACAACATAAACCACGGTGTTCTCTTGTCTCTTATTAAGGCCTGCTCCAAATCCACTGGACGCCATGGGAAGAATCCCACTGGTTTTGATGGAGGCTGAATCAAGCCTGTAGTCTTGAAATGTTAGCAGTCTTTCTATTAGAACTGGATTTTGTCCTGCATACACATTGAAATTTCAACATTTTGCATGTTTATGGTTATATTGATTTAAGCAACATTAATGCAAAACAAGTGGCAACAGTTATTCAGGGGGCTACAGGGATATTTTAATGAACTCTGGTGAAGAGTATTTTGATTTTTGAAAGTCTTTAAAACTGTCAGACTATTTTAAAACCAATTTCTAAGTGAATTTGAAGTTTTTAATTACTTGGTTTTAAAGGGAATATGCTAGAGAGGGGGGTCATTACCTCCCCTACTGTTTTTTAATCCTTGCATTTTTGTATTTCTCCGTTTTTCCCTTGCTGTTCCCAGGAGTTAGGCTCTTCTGGAATCCCATTCCCCCAGACCAGTGGGAGCTGTTGACCTGGGGACTCTGAACTCTGCAGCCTAGGGTTCATTTCAGCGGTGTTCTTCACCGATACTGTTCAGTGAGTGGGGAAGGATACTCTTGGCTACCCATTGCTCAGAATGGTCATGCTGGGTTTCTAGCTTAACCATCAGCTACAGAGTGTGCACTCCACACAACATTCCAAGGAATGGTTGGGGAAATCCCTGGCAGATGTGCTTATGTTGTCAGAAGGGTTATGTGCCAGTGTGCTGCCTGCATTCCTTTCAGTGCCGGCCAGTGACTGACACATCAGCTGGACTACAATCCTGAACCAGCCTCCCCAGAGAGATGACGAGTTCTGAAGTTACTCTTTTCCTGGACAAAACTTTTAATGGGTGCTGGATCAAGTCCTTCGTGACCACTTTCCCAGAAAGGTTCTCAAAGGCATTCTCTCTTATTCCCCAGGTATCTCAACTAGGTTTTTTTCAGGCACATTTGCTTTATCAGTGAGGTTAATTTTATTGATTATTTGTGTCATTTTATGGAGTTTGGGGGTGGGGTTGGCTTAGCTGAGGTTATTTTTTGGATTGTGGGTTTTTTTTCAAGAAGGTTGATGCAAGAGAAGGTAGATGATTGAAATCTGTCTTGCTTTTCTAGTATACTAAAGTGTATTTTGGGGGTAAAATATATGCTAGGTACATAAAAAGTGGACTTGTTCTTGCAGCTGGAAGACAAGGGTTAGCATCAAGATTTACAGAGCTCAACGAGAATGCTCATCTCCTCTGAATATCCACTCCAACCCTCTCAGCAGTATCAGAACTGTTGTTCACTGTTCTCAGTCATATTTTTAGACCAAATTCATGACCACAAACCCATCCTGAAGATTTAAGTTGGCATTCAAAACTTGCTAAAACCAAGGTGATGCCTGGGAATAATTGTCATATTTACTTAAGTAGCCTGGATTACCCTGAAGGAGGCAAGCAGTGCAGCAGATTTGGATAGACAGGAAGATGCTTCAGCTCAGAGGTACCATTTCTTGTGCTCCTATAATGTTTTGCATTAATTTTTGGAAGATCTCACGAATGTCCTCAGATATTCAGGGATGTGAAAAGTTTATTTTTGCCTTATTTCTGATTTAATGCCAAATGAAACAGATAATGGCCAGAAGTTAAGTAACATCAGATATTAAGTAAGCTAAATAACATCAGGCATGGCAGTTGAGGAAATCACTGGTAGAGCCGACTTGCAGTAAGCGCTCTGCTTTGACAAGCAGAAGGACGTTTTAAGGTTGGAAGCACTCTTACACTAACGCACACGGGGAACGTACACTCCTCATGACTGCATAACTTCCAGTGTGTCTGCTTATGCTTTGTGTTGGGTTTTTTTAATGCCAAGCTGATTGGCTTTGCCTTCATATGTGTATATATACATATATATAAACTTTTTTGTTACATGCAGTATGTAGAACAGTAGCATTTTGTAAAATACATAAAGGGCTATCTGAGGTAAATGTGGTAAATTAATATATAGTTTAAGATTATTTCTTTGTTATTCCAATACTACTTCTGTCACTGAAACCCCAAAATCTTCATTGTTCTTGTTTTGCACAGAAGCCTATTCTAAGGCAAATCCAGAGAAAAGGTTTTTATGGAATTCTTTCTTCTAGTCTATAATGAGATTCTTGTTCTTTTCAGACAAAAAGCGAGGTTTCAGTAACTAAAATAATTTATTTAAATTTCTATAGATACTTCACCATCTGTATTTGCTTTTCAGTGCTTGAGAACATTCAGCTTGGCACTAGATAGTTTCCCCCCACTAATATTTACTGCTCATTAGAAAGACTGCGATACGATACTGAATGATTAGAATCCTGTTCTGCAAACACTGTTTTGCCCACTTACTGGGGTAGTCTTACTGGAAACATGTAACCCCTCCCTAAGGTTTTTGCATACAAGGTTGTGAATTTCTAACTAAGTCTTGATTCATGAACATTAATTAACTAAGGAAGGCATTATCTGCTAACGATGCACACTCAGCTTGCCCTAGACGCGTGTATGGTTTTGTTTAAAGATTGTGAATCTGTACCCGTTTGAAGAGTTAGTACCAATAAACATTTTTGTCTGGGGAACCACTTGGGCTTCAGTTGTCTCCGTTCTCATGGCTTGTGGTGGATGTTTCATTCACTCGATGGAACGTAGGTGGTTATGGGTATGGCATGTAATGATTGCCCTGCAAGAACTGAAATTGCTCGCTGACTTCCAGGTGTCAGCGTTTTCATTTCTGCCCACTGGTGAAACGATTTCACTGAAAATGGTGTCTGACCTCTGAAACAGGTTCTTGTCTTCAGTTCCTTGAGTTGCTGTGTGAGCCACGGGAGGGCACTGGTGGGTAAGTGGCTGGTTCCACCTGCTCTTCCCATTTCTTTGTCCGTCTCCTTAGGTTCCCGCATGACTGCAGCTGCCTCACACTGTGTGCCTTGGAGGTGGTTGTGGTTCAGCACCAGATGCGTGTGTTGGAGACCCACTGGAAGGGAAAGAAGGAGCTGGCCGTAAAGCACCCGACACCTTACTACCTCTGCCCAGGCCCTCTCTTGGTCCGGTCCCTCGCGGTACAAGGCAACAGTGACGACCTCAGCTCTTGGACAGTACGGTCCGTGAGATCTTTTCAGCATCGTTCGGGGTCCTGTGATGTGCAGCCAGTGGTGCTTGTTTCTGCTGCATCTTGAAGTTGCAAGAGGTTGGAAAATTAGGAGAGCACGTAGTGCTCCGTCTCGTCTGTTTTTGCATTGGCTAAAGGGGTGTGAGGTGTCGCAAGTGTGTAACCACAGGAAGTGCTTTCTCACTAAATCAGTGCTTACGGCCTGGCCACGAGACACAGGAAACATGGCAGACAAGGAGTCGCTTTCCTGCGGCCTGTGTTGATGCTTCTTCACCCTGGACTTCATTGTAGGGCTGGAGTCTTACGAAGGAAGCACAAAGATATCACAGGGGCTGCTTAATGCTGAAATAAATTGTTTTCCAGAACACGTGGCACTTCATAGTATTAGGAAGTGGAAAACTAAATCTCTTCTGCCTGTCTCCTGGCCACACAGAGTTTTCCTCTGTGATTTGCCATGAGCCAATGGAAATCTGAGCACTAAAGGGCAACACTTCTGTTTTGAATAATGCATGAGAAGACTATCTGCCTTCAACCCCAGCATGTGCAAAGAAGAGGTGTTTGGCATCCACGTTAAATGAAATCTACTTCTGTCAGTCTGTTCTAACCTGATTACCGATTCCTGCCAATATGCTTTGGGTAGGGACGTTCACATACCCTCAATCTATCAGTCTACTTCTGCTCTCTTAAAAGCCAGTTCTGCAGTCACTTTCCAGAGGTGACGCCTGGCAGAACGGCGTCTCTGTGCAGTTCCCCGTGTTTAAATTGGATTTACCTATTTGTTATATTTACCTACTACCTGGAGTGTCTGTTTTAGAGTGATGTTTGAAGAGCAACTGTAGGGAGCATTGGGAACCAACCCTATGTTGATTATTTCAGTAAGGTACCAGAAACAGCAAGAATTACTGCTTTTAAATGTATGTCCTTGTAACTCAGGCTGAAGGAATTAGTGAATAGTAAGTTAAGCACAGTTCTGGCTTGTGAGCAATCTTGGTTTTTCAGGTGGGGGTAACTGCCAAAGTCTGCTCAGTGTAGTCCATATTGCACTGATGTTGGTGCTAGTTCTCGTCACTACTCCGGGTGTTCCATTTTCTCAGCTGGATGGGAGTCACACAGTGTCTTTCACGCCCCAGCTTTTCTTCCCATCTCTTCCAGCTTTGCCCTCGTGTTTACGTAGCTACAGCTCCATGTGCTGTTCTGCAGCGCGCCTTAAGAAGGGCTCTCCGTGCCAGCAGGTGGCTGTGTGCACGTGCACGCGCATCTGCCCACCTACACAGGTAAGCCCCTACCTGCCTTGCCCTGAACGGTTGGGCGCACAGGCGGGCCTTGCCAGGGGCTGGGCACTTTGCACAGCCCTGAGGGAGGCCAGCGGGAGGACGGATGTCCAGTTGCCTCTGCACCCACCGTGCCCACCCATTTGTTTAAAGCTGTTGGGCTGCGAAGCTGGTGCGCAAATCTCTTCCAGACCATCCTGCGTAAGTCAGCTTCAAAATCATTGCTTCTGTTTCAGGGGAACAGTATCACATCTGTGCTACCAGTCATTGAAGCTCTGAAATGCCACGTTTGTAAAAAAAAAAAAAAAAAAAAGGAAAAAAAAAGTGCATATTCCATGTAAGGTGAAAGTAACAATGACATTTATTGAACTACTTGGTCCCTTCTTCCTCCAATACCAGCTTCACGATAAATCCCTCTTTTAAAAATTGCAGATTACCTCATCGCATTGTTGTCACTGAAAC